TAATTGTTTTCTGGATGTTTTCATATCTCCTGTTCTTTTTTCCTCTACTATACTCTTATTTTTGATGGATTTCATTAGTGTTGTGATTAGATTTTTCTCTTTCTTTCTTTTGTGTGTGTGTTATGTCCATATCTATTGTAGGCTTTAGATTTGTGGTTACCAAAGGTTCAAGGATAGCTTCATTACTACATAAAAGTCTACCTTAAATTGCTGATTATTCTATTCCAGAAACAATCTAGAGCTACTTTTTTCCCCCCATTCTTCTTCCCCACACTTTATTAGGTGTCATATTCTGCACATTTGTGTATCCATTGACTGATTTTGTGAGTAGTTGATTTAATTTTGAACTTGCTTGGTAATCAATTGGCCTACTACCTTTACTGAGGGTTTTTTTCACTAGTGAAAGCTATTTAGCCTTAGGAATATTTCCATTACAACAGTTCCTTTAACAAATCATGTAGGGCTGGCTTAGTGATGGTGAACTCCTTCAACTTTTATCTGAAAATTCTTTAAACCCTGTTTCAAACTTAAATGATAATCTTGCTTGGTATAGTATACTTGGCTGGAGTCCTTCTGTTTCAGTACATGAAGTATATCATGCCAATCCCTTCTGGCCTGTAGTTTCTGTGGGGTTTCCTTTATAAGTAATATTTTTTCTCCTTCTGGCTGCTTTCAATATTCTTTCCTTGCCCTTGATCACTGCCATTTTAGTTATTATATGTCTTGGTGTTGTCCTTCTGGGGTTCCTTTTGTTAGGGGCTCTCTGTGCTTCCATTACCTGAGTGTCTACTTCCTTTCCCAGATTAGGGAATTTTTCAGCAAATATTTCCTCAAAGAGATTTTCTATTCCTTTGTATTCCTCTTCTCCTTCTTGTATCCCCATTATGCAAATATTGTTCAATTTGGACTAGCCACACAGCACTCTTATTATTCTTTCATTCCTAGAGATCCTTTTTTCTGTTCTTCAGCTTGTTTTCTTGCTCCCTAATTTCCAAATCATTTACAACTTCTTCAACCTGTGAACATCTATTAAATCCCTCCATTTTATGTTTCATTTTAGGGACTGTATTCTTCAGCTCTGACTGCCTCTTTTGCTGGTCTTTTTTGTTGAAGTCCTCTCTGAGATATTGAATATTTTTCTATAGATCCATGAGAATGTTTGTGACTTTTACTTTGAAGTCTTTATCAAGATTAGTGATTTCAGTTTCATTCAGTCCTCTTTCTGTTATTTTGCCTTGTAGTTTATTTGTAACATATTGCTCTGCCTCCTTTTTTCAGTGTTTCCTATGGAGTAATAGCTTTATGAAGGAGGTGCCCTCTAGTGCCCAAAAGCTCAAGTCACTTTACTGTCCAGTGCAGGAGCTCCAGCTGTTAGCGTGCAGTGGGCTGGGTGCCTTTCTGACTTGTAGTGCGCTGTTTGCTTCAGCCATGCCTTTGTGATCAGCCCAAAAGTCTCTGCTGGAGTTGCTTTGGGTAGAGCCACCCTCTACCTGGGTTACAGCAGTGGCAAGGGCTGCAGGGTTAATGGGGTGTGCAGGTTGATGTGTGTGTGTATGTCCAGGCTCATTGCATGGAATCCAGCACTCTCAGGGAGGAAGGAAATCCCAGGGCTGGCTCCTGCAGGCAGCTCCCCAACTGGCCCCAAACAGGACCAAGAAAGCTGGGAGGGTCTCCCTCTGCATACCTGGCAGCAAAGTCTGACACCATTGTAAGGCCAAGTGGGCCAGCAGCTGGTCACATGTGCAGGAAAAAGCCTTGATGCTGCACTGCAGGAGTTACTGTGAATGTGGCCATCCTCCACCTGTCCTGCAGCAATGGTAGGGGCTGTAGGCAGGTGAGACCAGTGCCTGCCCAAAGGAAGGAGCTCCTGGGGCAGGATCCTGCAGGCTGCTCCCTAGCTAGGCTGAAACAGAGCTGAGAAACCTGTCTCTCCCTGTGTACCCAGCAGGAAAGTCTGATGCCCTTGCCAGGACAAGTGGGCCATCTACAGGCTGCACATCAGAAGGAGGAGCCTTGGGGCTGCATTGCCAGAGAGGAGTATGGAGTTTATAGGCTCCCCAAGTTCCCAACCTGTTGGGCTGAGGGTGGGCAAGGGAGGTATCATCCACCTGTCCTTTCTCCTGAGCATCAAACTCTGTGTAACTCTTGCCTCTCTGGGTCCCCTCCCACTGTTGGGAAGTCCTTCAATCTGCCTGCTTTCCTTTTGTCTCAGGAGGGCCAGGAGAGCATGCCTAGTCTCCACAAGCAGCTAGAATCTCAGCCACCCTGAGTGTTCTACCTCTGTTGTCTAACCCCACTAATCACCAGAGTATCATGTAATATGGGCCTGTGTTCCCAGAGCAGATATCCTGGGCCAGGTGTTCAGTGATCCTGGGTTCCTACTCCCTCCCTACTCCACTCCTCTTCCTCCCTCCCACCTGTAGGCTGGGGTTGGGGTAGAAATTGGGTCCCACCAGATCTTGGCTTTGCCACTTTACCCTTTTCTGTGAGGTCTTCTCTTCTTCCCCAGATGTAGGTAGTCAGTTCTGCAGTCTTCATTTTCAGGTTTAGTTTTATTTGCTCTTTTTTTGTGTCTTATGTATTTTGGGGAGGAGGTTTCTGCCTTGCCTTCTCCTTTTCCCCATAATCCACCAACATCTCTTTTAAAATAATTTTTAAATTGTCTTACAGTAAAATTGACCTTTTTTAGTGTACCATAGCATCAGCCACATTCATGAGAGCCTTCAGATCAGCATTAACCAATAGATATGTAACGTGAACCCAAAATGTAGGTCACATATGTAACTTCAAATTTTCTAGTAGCCACATTAAAATCAATTTATATAATTTTAATATATTTAATTTAACCAAATAAATCAGATATTTTGACATGTAATCAATATTCTTAAAGTTGACATGGTTTTTGTCATACTAATTCTTCAAAATCCAATGTATATTTAACACACAGCACATCTCAATTCAGACTAGCCTCTTTTCAACCTCTCAATAGCTTTTGAAACTATGGCAGCTTCAAATGATTCCACTATTCAAAACTGTTCATTCCAACCTTGAGTTTTCCCAGCTGAAACCTAAATATCACAGTTAGAAAGTTGTTCCTGCTATACTCTTTCTGAATTCTTGACACACAAATTTATGAGCATAAGAAAATGGTAATTAAGTTTGGGGTGGTTTATTTACCACCCTTTGAAAGTAGAACTACTTAAACATTTCCCTATTTAGGTGTTTGTCTCCTCTTCCCAGGACATTATTACAAAGAATCCTATGCTAAGCAACACAATGCCTGTAAGCTAGTCTAATTATCTCTTTAGTTTGAGAGTGGCTTTTCTGGGTCAATGGGGACATACATTTAGTCAATTTACACTCATGTTGACAAACTGCTGTCCAAAGAAACTTAACAAGTTTTCACTAACAGTGCATGTGCCCAACTGTTTCTCTTGAATTCTTGCCTTTTTCTAGTTTCTTGAGTTGAATGCTTAGTTCTTTTTTCCTATTCTATAACATTCCTCTATAACTGTGCTTTTATATTTTCAACTGCCAGTGATATATTTTTATTGCAAAAGAATCAGCTTTATCATAAACTTTACAAAAGGGGCATATTATATGATTTGGCTTTTTTCCCCCACTTAGTAAAGTCTTAGTTATTTTTCTCAGTTTATTAAAAAATTAAATGATTAAACGACTGCTTTGTAAATGCTAAATGTTAAATGACATGCATGTATCTTAACCACTGCCCTCGTGATAGATATTTATGGTGACTCCAAACTTTCATTACAATATTACTCTAAAGATCATTTTAATTCTTTAATAAGTTTTGATAAGTAGAAATGTTGTCAGAGTAGCAGCCTTTCAAAAATTGGTATAGTAAAATTGTGTTTCTCACCACCACACTGTTAATTCACAATTTATTTCACAATATATAAGTATGCTTATTTTCTTGCACCCTCAAAGAGCACCAAATATTTTTATATTATTAATTTTTGCCAAATAGATCAAGAAAATATGATCATTTTAGTTCACATTTCTCTAAAGCTGATCATCCCTTTTTTTAAATTTGACCATTTGTATATCATTTTACTGAAAACTGTATATTCATATCTCAGGCCGTTTTCCCACTGGGATTTTTATATCTTTCTTGTGTATTGTTAAGAACTCTTTATTAGATATTCTCAGTATTTTTTCTTATACATGATGGTGGTAATATTTTCTCTAAGTCTGGCCCCTTGTATTTTAACATTATGAAGCCTCTAGTCATACAAACATTTGTTTTTATGTATGTGATTTCTCTTATTTTTATGGCTTCTGATATTTCTAATTTAGAAAGACAACAATGAGAATATACCCAATGATTCTGCAACATCTTCCTATGTTGACAGATAGTAGCTGTACTAGTGGAGGTAAGGATTTAATAATATAGGTAACTGCTGAACCACTGTGTTCTATACTTGAAACTGACATAGGAATATGTATGTTTTAAAAAAGATAACTGTTAAATTACAGAAGATAGATGCTTGTATGCTTTATTAGATATTTCAAAACACAGTAAAAGTCAAAATTTCACTTCATCATACCAATACCATATTCTTTCCAAAGATATATTGTTTAGGCCTTTATTTTTTCAGATCTTTTTTAACTTGTATGTACAAACAAAAACACCTTCGTTTTTAAAAATATAAGTAAGACCACAATATATAGATTTTCTGCAACTTGCTTTTTTTAACTTAACAAGATTTCAGGGGGATATGTCCATTGCTGTATATAGAGCTCTACCTCATTCCTCTCCCTTGCTACATAGTATTCTATAATAACTATTTCCATATTGGTAAATATTTAGGTTCTTAAAATATTTCACTAGTCCCAACCATGTTATGATGAACATCCTCACAAGTGAGAAGGTCTCCAGGATAGAGATGCAGAGGATATTTTTGTTAAATGTGTAATTTATTGAATTTCTCCTCTTTGATGGTCAAAAGTAATAAATTACTTCTGCATGATTTACCACACTACATCTGGGTGCTCTTTCTGTTATGAATTTTCTTATGTTGTTTGAGGACCGAGCTCTGAGGAAAAGCCTTCCCACATTCATTACATTCTTCTCCAGTATGGATTCTCTCATGTTCAATAAGGCCAGAGCTTTGCCTGAAGGATTTCCCACATTTTTCACAGTGATACGGTTTTTCTCCACTATGGGTTATCTGATGTCCAATATGGGTTGAGCTCTTCATAAAGGCTTCCCCACAATCATTACACTGATAGGGTTTATTTCCACTATGAGTTTTCTGATGTACAGCAAAAGATGAGCTATATCTAAAAGACTCTCCACACTTACTAGACTGATACGGTTTCTCTCCTGTATGCATTCTTTGATGACTAATAAGAGTTGAACTCTTCCTAAAGGCTTTTCCACGTTCATTACACCAATATGGTTTCTCACCAGTGTGGATTTTCTGATGTTCCAACACAGTTGAGTTATCCCTGAAAGCTTTCCCACATTCATTACATTTAAAAGGCTTCTCTTCATTATGTATTCTTTCATGACGAGTAAGGGCTGCATTCTGAGCAAAGGCTTTCCCATAGTCATTACATCTGTAGGGTTCCTGACCAGTATGAGTTCTCTGATGACTTAAAAGGATAGAGTTCTTTCTGAAAGCTTTTCCACATTCATTGCATTTATGAGGTTTATCTCTAGAATGAATTTTCTGATGATTAAGAACTGTTGAGTGCTTCTTAAGGAACTTCCCGCATTCAATACATCTGTAAGGTTGCTTGCCTATGTGAATTTTATGGTGATTTAAAAGGGATGAGCTGCTCATAAAGGTTATCCCACATTCTGTACATTTATGGGGTTTCTCACCAGCATGATTTTTCTGGTGGCTAATAAAGGAGGACTATATTTGAAGACTTTCCCACATTCCTCACATTTATTCTGCATCTTCTCTGTGGAACTTCTGCCCTCCCAGTGCAGTCCTCTCTCCATCATGACACTTTTTGTTTGTGTTCCCAAATCAGATCCTTGAGAAATGTTTTACTTTAGGGCTGACATCTTTGTTTCAATCCAGTATTCCTGAACTGAAAGGAAATTTTTTAATTCATATGTTCTCTATGTGGAAATACTAAAAATGAAAGTTGCACAAGGATAAGGATAATTTCTATTCTATACAACTAAGGCTTATGTAAAATTAAGTCATCCCACTTACAATTCTTGCTAAGAAGTGATGACAAGACTCAAGATGGGAGAAGTAACTCTAAAGAAATGGAAGGAAATTATAAATACTGTACTTAAAGAGTCCAAGAAGCAACTAATCAGTTGGCAAGGAAGATAACATAGGAAATGCTCCCCTTCCTCCCTCAAAAAAAGATAAGATTGTGAAGATAAATTTGGGGAAAATCAAGTCTCACAAAGAAAGCCATAGCCATGATCACTAGGAGATTCCTCTAGGATGTAGTACAGTTTAGAACACTGTAATGTCTCCAAAAATTTAAGAGTAGCATTTCTCTGTGATATTTTAACAAAGAACCAACATTTAATGACTCAGAGAAAAAAAACTGACAAATATTTGAAGAACCAAAGTAGTTCTCAGGCTAAAAGAGTTTACTGTAATCTAAATATTTAACATTATCTAAAAAAGAACACACCAATAAAAAGGTCAACTGTGTGATTTTTCTCTAGCTATTTAAAAGTAGAGACACAAGACCTGAGAGAAAACATGCAAAATGAACTGACAAGGAGATTCTGAAAAACTAATACAACCAAATTTATAATAAGGCAACAATTACTGATCAATTATTTTACCAAATGAACTTTTTCTTATAAAGCTATAGCTGCCTATAACAATAGATATATAAACACATATATTTATGTTATATACATTATTTGTTAGCCTGGGGAGAAATTCCATACACCAAGTACTAGAGCTAAGACTTATTTTTTTAAGGGAATACAAGTTGGAGGTGAAGCCTGATAAGAAACAACCCAGATCCTTCACAAGTGGTCTTTGATGGGATATGTATTTAATGTGTAATTTCAAGATACTGGTTGTATAGGTAGATGGAGTCAAATTAGTCAAATGAACAGAAAGGGACTCTAAAAGGTAGCCCTGCAGAACAGTGAGGAAAAGGAGATATTGGCACATTTGGTGGGGGAGGAGGAGAGCAGTACACATAAACCCTACCTCATACAATGCAGAAAAATCAATTCTAAGAGGATGGTAAGTCTAAATGTAAAAGACAAACAATAAAGCTTCTAGAAATTAACACAGAGGACCATCTTCATGAACATGGGGAAAGGAAGATTTATTATGCAGGACACAAAAAGCACCGACAAGAAAGGAATATGATTTATAAAGTAGGAAACATTAATATTAAGAGCTTTTATTCATCAAAAGACCATTAACAGTGAAAGCAAACAACAGAAAGAAGGGTGATACAACACATATAATCAACAATGGGCTCTTTGAGTAGACACTTCACAAAAGATGATATAAATGGCCAATGAACATTTGAAAATATCCTCAACTTCATTATAAATCAGGGATATGGATATTAAAACCAAGAGCTACACAACATACCCAAACAATGACTAAAGACTGACAATATCAAGTATTAGCAAAGATACAGAACAACTTCTCCCACACACTGATGGGAGAAATACAAACTGGTACAAAACTTTGCAAAACTATTTAGCATTATGTACTAACGTTGAATATATGCATATCCTATAAAATAAAAATTCCTCTCCTAGGTATACACCCAATAGAAATGTATCCACATGTGAACTAAGAAATAACATAAGAATGTTCATAGCATTTATAATAGTCAAAAGCTAGAAACATCCCAAATATCCAAATAAATGAGATAAACTCTGGTATAGTCAGACAACAAATGAAATACTCTTAGCAGTGGTTTTCAAGGCACGGTCCTCAGACCACCACCACCAGTATCAGCATCTGAGAACTTCTAGAAATGTTCCACCCATACTCCAAACCAACTGAACAGAAAACTCAGGAAGTGGGACCCAACCATTATACTTCAGCATGCATTCTAATGCACGCTAGTTTTTAAGAACCATTGATCCACAGCAACGACAATGAATGAAAATAGATGTATCTCACAAAATGTTATCATCCATAAGAAGCCAGACCAAAAAATATATATACTATATGGTTCCACTCAACAAAATTTTAAAAACAGGTCAAAATACAGTGTTAGACTGGGGGAAAAAGGGAGAGTATGCATAATGATGTGATTGAGAGAGATGAATATGTGATTTAGTCAAATACTGCCTGCGCTTTAGTTCTTGGCCTGAGTGCTAGTTACATAGATATTCAACTTAAAAATACTAACTGTGCACATGTGTGTACATATACATAATCAACTTTTCTTTCTAAATATGTATTAAATTTTTTAAGGCTTTGAGAAACAAAAATGAAAGCTAGTTGAGTCTCTTCATACTTTGATAAAAGAAATCAAATACAAATTGCAAAATATCTAAGAAATAATAATAATGAAAACTACCTATCAGAACCTATTGAATACAAACAAAACACTGCACAAACAAAAGTTTAAAGCTTTAAATATTTATATTATAGAAACAAGAAGGAAAATCAATGAATTAAGTAAACAACTAAAAATTGAGAAAAAGTAAATAAACCTTAAAGGGCCCCCACCAGTAAGATGGCAAACTTCCGGCTTCTCTTCGGGGGGTCCTCAGTTCCCGCCGGTGCCACCTGAAGCCCAATCACCTCTCGCCCCCCTCCCAATCCCAGCACCTAGCCAACAGCCACCAGCCCCGTGAAGTGACACCTCAATCAATTCAGGCCCTTCCTATATAACCCAGCACCTTTCCCTAATAAAGCGGAACTCTCCGGTGAATTGCTGCTATGTGTCGCTCCTTTCCTTTCATTGGTGCCAAAACCCGGGAGACGGGACACCCCAACTGGGCCCCGTCTTCCCCCCGACACCAGCAGCAGCTTGCCCTCATCCTCTTTTTCCGGCGCAGGCTCATAACACTCACCACTCCTCTCTGGCCTTTAGGTAAGTTTTCCCCCTGGAGTGGGCCACTCTTCCCCGAGCTATCGCAGTGCCATTGACCATGATCGTCCAGCAAGGCCCTGATGCTCCGGGATGAGGAGGGAACTCTCCCTGCCTCAAGCCTTTACAGCTGCAGCAGACCCTCAGGCCCCTCCTCCGACAGTCATAAACGCATTCACTGTCCCTTCCATCAGTGCTGAAACTTTTTAAGCAAAATTTCCCTGGGGTGGGCCACTCTTCTCCGAGCTATCGCAGTGCCATTGACCATGATCGTCCGGCAAGGCCCTGACGCTCGGGGATGAGGAGGGAACTCTCCCCACCTCAGGCATTCACGGCTGCGGCAGACCCTCAGGCCCCTCCTCTGACAGCCATAAACAAGGTGACTCCTTTGCGGATGAGAACGCTCCCTTTTCCCCCCTCCTCCTTCTGCTCCATCCACCGAAAACGCCTAGTGCTAGGTACCTCGTGACTCCGGCACTCTGCCTTCTTAGGGAAGTCTGGGTGACGACCCACACTTCCTAAGAAATTCCGACTCGTATACGAGTTTCCTCAGACCACCAAGGATCATCGGGGACGCCCTTTGTCTCCTTGCGGTCTGCTTCCAGTCCGAGGATCTCCGTTCGTCTTCCCCTGTTTGTCTCCTCTGTCCTTTAGCCATGGGAGCCTCCTCATCCCTCCCTGAAAGTTCACCTCTTGAAT